AAGACTCTGTTATTAAAGGACTATAACCAGTCAACACCTTGAGTAGAAGGAGAACTTTTTTGGTGTATAGATTTAGTACAAATCCAGATAAAAGACTGAACATACTACGTAGTTAAGTAGAGCCAAAAACAAATGGAACTTCGCTTACAATATTTTCATTCTCGATATGATACTGCAGCTTTGAGTATCAACATTATATATATAATGCGCATATAATTTATATATATATATATATATATATATATATATATATATATATATATATATATATATATATATATATATATGTATTATATAGCATCAATACATACATACAATTTTGTAGTTGAATGAAAACTCTTGATCAAATGATATTATAAAATAAAGAACAACAGTCATGACTTTTAAACCGATGGGTTACATAAACTTTAAACACAATTAGGCTGAAGTTACGTGATTCTATTATCTTTCCTATATTGCAGGTTTTAGATGAAGGACGATTTTTTTGTTTGGCTGATATCAGACCGAGTTCCGACAACGATATTAATTACGGACATGTGTAGTTTAAGTTTTTTTAATCTCAGAGCTGTTGTAAAATATTATTTGATTATAACCTTTTAAACCTATTATACTGTATCTCTGTTTCTTTCTGTATGTCTGCTTCTGTCTCCTTGAACCCCAGTCAGCCTCGGCAGATGGCCGCTCACACTGAGCCTGGTTCTGTTGGAGGTTTCTTCCTATTAAAAGGGAGTTTTTCCTCTCCACTGTCGCTACAAGCATGCTTAGTGTGAGTGATTGCCTTTGAGTCAATGTGTTGATGCAATCAACTGGTTTTCCTTAGATAGAAAACTTTGAATCACTTTGACAGTATGATCTGGTTTATTTGTAAAATGTCTTGAGATGACATGTGTTGTGAATTGGCTCTATATAAATAAACTGAATTGAACTGAATTAAACCTTCGAACTGAGCTTATTACTGCAAATGGATTTTTCTATTTCAAGATCCTAATATTTCTGTTAAACTCTCTCTGTGTTGAAGCTCTTGTTATGGTTGGTAACTTCAATGCAGTCCCAACTCAGTCACTTCAAATCTCAGACTTCATTGCTTTAGGTCCAAAACCCCCTCTGACGCATTTCTGTGATGACAACGCGCTCCCAAAATGATCATTACTGAGCTCAATAAGGGGTTTCAAGTTATGAAATACACACAGTTGGGAGCAAGCGGGGGTGTATATGTGAAGACATGCTGAGCTCTGAGAGTAATACCAGTTCACAAAGACGTACAGTTTGTCAGAGACACAGGAAAATACATCCGTGGTACTATTTTGTGATGAAATCCTCCAGCCCATTTCATAGGGGAGGCTGTGGTCGGGGTAGCAATCACTGCCTAGCGTTATGGAATGTAATTAGTTCAAATAGAATTAGTTGTTCACTCTGGCTATATCCATGGGAACTGTGCTTCTAAAGTTTCTAATTATCTGGCTCTGGCTTTAAAAGCAGTACCACCGCATTGCCTATCTGCAGCCGGTGAAATCTAGCTCGCGGTAATGAGTTCGGAGGAGGAGGTTTAATTCCACCCTCTCAGATGAGCGTAATGAGGCTCACCTACAGAAAAAGCGGTCAGGGGTCTGATCAGGCAGCAGAGGAGAGGTCCGGGAAATGAATGTTCCAAAATACTGCGTGCTGCAGAAAGCACACCATGTCAGTTCCTGAAGTAACTGTTAATTACGTGTCAAAAGAGGCACTGAAATGCGGTTAGGACAAAAAGAACTGCAGCTGAATCTGAAAGAGGAACAATAGGCCCTCTTGCCCTCTTTCTTAAGCCTGGATGTTGTGAAACTTTTCCAAAATCGGCTGCAAATGCTGATCTTGGCTGCAGCTGCATCAGCAAGGAGGAATGTGGGTGATGTAAGGCACAGCACACACTACCCCCCATGATGCATCACACTTCAGGGCTGAAACCCCAGCTTGTCACAGCCGGGCATGCTGAGTTGTTGCCAGGCAACATGACGTCAACAAAGGCAAGCATGTTTGTCTGTGATTTCTCTGGGACGGAGTCTCCGTCTGTGTGTAGGTAGGGGTTTAGGCAGCGGAACAAAAGGCCCTATTATACAGCCTTTGATTGCTATGATGGAACCGTACTAAAAATTAAGCCTAACTTATTAAGAATAAGCTCTGCTTGGTAATATTTCATTGACTAGATTTATCAGTCATGTAGAACCTCCTCGTTTACATCTTTGCTTCTCAATTACAGAGATGACCCTGGTTTAAATGTTTTACAGACACTCTCCTGTCACATCTGGATATATCAATATGATACAGCCTAAGACATAAAAAAAACTAAGTAACTAAGTTAATCAACCCAGCATTATTTTCTAGTTAATTTTGGGGTTTAAGGACTGTTAACTTGATTATGATTAGGAAAGGTATGCTTTGGGCAGGAACCCCCCGAAGAATGAGCAGGAGCAATTAGGGAAAAACAAATACATCCACAACGTTTCTGTTGTTGACACACATTCAGCTTTAAGGAGAAGAAAGTCAAGGGAAAGGATGTCCGCAATTTATGTAAAAATAAATGTAGTGAGCAGGTATGACACTGCTTTTATTTGCAGTCCGCCTGTACCCTAACTGGCTGAGTTAATAGATCGTGTTTGTTTTTGTTCACAGCGGTCATGAACTCTCAGCTTTGGTTAATATATGTTTTTTTGAATAGCTGTTATATTTAGTATTTTTATTTATTATAAATCATTCACTGGCCTGGACTGAATAAAGTAGTGTTAAAAAACATAGTGTTCATATTAAATGAATGAATTACATTGATGAGTCCATTTTAAAGAATTTTTATTTTAAAAAGTATCTACTTTTTGAAGTGACTCGTTTATGAGTGTTGTTTATTTGCCTTGCAGTGGTCCGTACTCTTTGGATGAAGTTGTTTTTTTTTTGTATTTTTCAGTAACTACAGCATCGACGGTTGTATAGGCCTTTTTATTGCTTAGTTTTTGAAAGATCAATCAAGAGTAAGTTAGAGAATTTTGGGCTGAAAAAATTAATCAAAACAATTGTGATTAATCAATTATTAAAATAATAACCATCAACAAATTTTTTTATCAATTAATTGAGAGTCTAGCTGACAGAGCAACCAACTCAGAGCAGTAATGAAACAAAAATTGTAAAAAAATAATAATAAAAAAAAGAAATAAATAAATAAAATAACAACATAGAAACATTTTCCATTTCAGATGAAAAACTTATTTTTGTCCATTAATATATATTAATATCCAAAACTCATAAGGAGTGTA